GGAGGAGTTAATGAACGCGGCTTGACGTTGACTGGTTTTCTTTTTCTCCATGCCTTGTTCATAGAAAAAGGGCGTCTTGAGACAACTTGGACTGTCCTCAGGAAATTTGGTTACAATAATGATATCAGACTCGACGATGAATTAATTCCATCATTTAAACGAGCTCCTGATGAGGTAATGCTTAGTTCAAGTTCCACACTCATTTATACCTGATCATAGAGTACTACTGTAGGGATACATTCCCATGCATATTGGCATATTCAAAGATGATTAATAAATAGGTTTAAAAGTGTCATTATGAAACTCGGTGGGACATTGGAGAAGTCTGGCTCGATAGATCACCCGTGTTTCGTTGATCAGCTGCGGCTGGAGGATGTAACAGAAACTTCTGATTAATAAAGGCTCACACAGGTTTCATATAAAAAAAGAGTATCATTTTGAATTCGAAGTTGAGTTTTGGCAGTTTCTTTCTTTAAATTGAATGACGAGTTTGGCGGCAACTTGGCATGGCCTTGGGAATAATTTCTTACACTGTGATGTTTGCTTATGTTCAAGATTTAGCATAAAATTACTGTTATGTCCTGAAAGACAAATTCTAAATTCTTGAGTTGTAACTGGTGTCTGAAAAGCGTTGGATGCACAATCTTGGCAACACGTTGGACTATTTGTCCCATGCGATGACCATGATGGTTATGGTTAGTGTTGGCAGATTTTCTACTTTTGACATTAGTATCTGGTTATTCACTATAGCTGTTGTTTATGCAGAGTGTTGAGCTTTCAAGTGAACCTCTTGATTTCTTAAGGGGGATCTACGAGTTATTCGACGGCGATTATGTATGTTTCAGCTTGTCCTTTTCAATTGCATATGTCAATATGATTCACTGTACAGTGTCCAATGACAATATTAGTTCCTGTTTCTAGAAATCCTTACTTTATGTTTGTCATTGTGGCAGGATAACAACCTTCGGCCTGCTGAGCTGGATGATATTTTTTCTACTGCACCTGATAGGTATCCTACTTCTATTGGGCTTGGTCCAGAGTGTCCGACGTCTTCTCATGTCCTAATATCTTGATATGTAGCTGGGTACCACAAGCTGCTGATTTGATTTGTTATTTTCATCCGAGCGGCTGTGAACTTTTAGCTCAGAGGATATTATTGCATATTTTTAATGCTTTTTACTTCATTTCTGATGATTTATTTCTCGTTTTGCAGCCCCTGGGATGAACCTCCATACAAGGACGCTGCAGAGAGAACTTCACTGGGTGGCCTCTCAGTTAATGCATTCTTATCTGAGGTATGATTTTGCTGATGTTACCTTAATTATTGATGCCACAGTGGAAGCCACCAATGAAACAAGACATATCCATGCTTTTGCTTCTCTGTGCACTCCAGTGGGCCCTGATGACACTTCTACATCCATCACGTGCTGTGGAGTACTTGATTTATATTGGATATCTAGGCGATCCCTCTACCGCTGTTCGTGTGACAAGGAAAAGGCGTTTGGACCGCAAGAAGCAACAATCAGAAAGAAATGTTTTCCAGTGCTTTGTCTTTGGACCAAAGAAAGCTGGAAAGACGTCGTTGTTGAATTCTTTTATAGGAAGGTATGTCATTATCTGATCATAATAAGCATCTTCTCAAACATTTGTTTTTATTGTCATCGTCGAATGATTCTAAATGCAGGCCCTGTCCTGACGGTCATGCTTCAACGACTGAAGAGAAGTTTGCAGCGAATGTCGTTGAGCTTCCTGGTGTAAGTGCTATCCCGTTATATTTCTTTCAGGCTTAAAGGAAAAATAGTGCTATGTTTGTCATGACTAGCCATACTGTTCAATTATTCCTCTGAAAAGCTGTAATGGTTTGTGTACAGGGTACCAAGAAAACCCTTGTGTTGAGAGAGATTCCTGAAGATGAAGTGAAGGGCTTGCTCTCAAGTAAAGAATCTCTCGCATCATGCGACATTGCAGTATTTGTTTATGATAGGTATGCTGTACTCTGGAAGTGCTAAACAGAGTTTAGATCTTCGTTACTTTCAGTATTCAGGTTTTCTGAGTCGGTAGCTTTGTTGCAGTTCTGACGAGTCCTCATGGAAGAGAGTGACTGAATTGCTTCTGGATGTTGCTGGTCATGGTGAAGATACTGGCTACGAGGTCCCTAGCCTGATAATTGCAGCTAAAGATGATCTCAGTTCGTTCCCTACGGCAATTCAGGAGACCACAAGGGTGCTAATCTCAATTTCAGAAATTCTCTTTTTCATTTGTGAGGTTGCTCCAGTTCATTTGTTTACTGATTGAAAGACCCAAATGTTGGCTTTTGTAGGTCACTCAAGATTTGGGGATAGAGGCTCCAATTCCCATAAGTTCGAGAATGGGCGATACAAATAACGTCTTCCGTAGGATTGTAAACGCAGCTGAGCACCCACATTTGAGCATTCCTGAAACTGAAGCTGGAAAAAGTCGCAAACAGTACCATCGTCTCGTCAACCGCTCGCTTATGTTTGTTTCAGGTACTTCCTACATCTACTGTTCTGCCTTATGTTTTGAGGTTCAATGGGTATTATAGTCCTTATACTATGTCGACAAAACCCTATGATATTGTTTTCACAAGCACAATCCATTTAATATGTCCTTTATCCGGTTTTAGTTACTCGATAAAACTTGGTCTGAATTAGTTGTTTTAGGATCCATGGCTAGCAGACATGTCTTAGATGAATCATATGCCACAATAAGCCACATAATTTTAAATTCTTATTTCTTCTTTCAATTCGAGTCTTAAATTCTACATCTCCTTGTTTTTATGATGTGTTATGGCATCTGGCACGTGTTACTTAGCATATGGGTGTTAGCCGCATTAGTAACAATTTTGGAGGAGATTTTATAAACTTATTACACAAGACTTATTATTCATAGTACAAGGATGAATTTGTTATAAACGGCATAGTATGGTGACTAAAGTTATTGTTAACCCTATGTTTTTCTTGAAAATTTTCTCAAGCCTGCTCGGTATTCCATTCCCAGCTTAACTGCAAATGTCAATCTTCCTTGTTGCTTTCCTGTTGACATAGTGGCAGTCATTAATTAATACCAAAAAATTAATCTCAGGCGATGATCTAGCGGACACACTGATCTCTTATGATCTTATACTTTTCCTGGGTTCTTATGACACATCTCTACTAATCTGAATTTATGATTTATCCATGGACTTGTGATGGCAACCTTGTGTGTTTAATTTGCAGTTGGAGCTGCTGTCGCCATTGTTGGTCTGGCAGCCTACCGAGTTTATGCCGCGAGAAAGAGCTCATCGAGCTAAAAGGGGTTGAATCAGCAACCATATCCCTTTTGGGTAAGGATGGGGATTTAGAAAGCAAACATCACCCAATTGGATGTTATTGCTTGGGTAGTTTTCACTTGGGAGTTGTATTTCGACTGTAGGATTAGTTAGTATATTCCTGTTTATCAATGTCTTCCATCGACGACCTTATTATGCAAAAAAAGTCCAGTGTAATAGAGTTTCAGTAGTCTTTGAATTTGACAGAGGATTTGTATCATCCATCTGTTGCGCTCTTGAGCAGGGTTTGTGCAATAAGTAAAGAAATTTTGTAGCATAAGCTCTCTCTTTCTCTCTCCTCGTAGGAACTGGTAATGTAACTTAGCACTTGAAATTCTTCGCTCAGCTTTTCTAGCGACGAAATGGCGAGTCAATCTGGTAATCTCGTCTCCCACTTTCCTCACCAGTTCACAGCACCAGCTCGGCTCCTGCAACACTCAAAGAGTCTGAAACCTGGGCGGAACAACTCCATCTCCATTCTCTTCAATTTTGATGTGCCCTCTTTCGCATAGTACCATTGCTGTAACACATACAGAGCAAGAGCAAAACCACGAGAACTTGCATCTGCCAAGCATATACAAATTCGCTCGATCAGGCTTACTTGTCGTCCATGAACTGTGTGGCCACCACGATGGTGGTGATCTGAAGCTCATGTAATCTTTGTTCATGTATCAACAAGCTATACCAATCTCACGCAATTTACATAAACAATATAGTTTCTAATCAAACTACACTGACCAAATGTCCAAATATAACCACCGCTACGAAGCTTTTGTAGTCAAAAATCTTATTTTGTCATGATCGTCCAGATTGATATGTCAAAGCTCAGTGATAGATTTGTTGGCACTTAGCACCCAACATGTCATTTAGTGACCATCACGTAATTAACCACTTAAAGTTTTCATCTGTACCACATCGCAAAATCTGTCTAAGAATTTTCTGTTTAGAGTCTTTAGTGGTTGATTTAAGACCTGTGTTCGTAGAAAGGAGAGATGGTTGGCATCTCCCCTGACAGGGTCGGGAATGGACTACGGTCCTTCTTGTTACCACACACCCGGTTAAGGCTTCCCACCCTCGCGGTGGATCTGCAACCCAAATTTTTTTACCCCATTGGAGCTCATCTATACCAGGCCGTCTAGGACGGGTTTCACGTTAAATCTCTCGTCGCGTAAGATATCTTTTGTGAGGGGAAGGTAGGCACTCCAGCTGCTTGATCAAATGCTTGTGTGAATAACATTTGTATCGCTGAATTTGTTTGCCCTTTGGGATCCCCAGTTGGTTCATTGGAGAAGTGTCTGGACTTGGGATAGAATTTGATGTTAGCCAGTGCCATCGAAGCACTCTCAAAAAGGATTGAACTCTTTACCTTGGTGATCACCACCTCTTCAATTCCCTACAATAATGCTAACTACCGCTCCATCTCCCCTCTCCATCAACTATTGGTTTCTTGTTCATCTCTGTGGCATCATAAATGCATCCAGGCTCTGATTCTCACGAGGGGGATCTCACTTCGATCTGCTGCTGTCTACAAAATTAGTTGCCTTGGCTTGCGACCTATCTCTAACCATGAACTATGCTCAAACCCTATTTGATAGAGTGCATCAAAAGGATGTTTTTTGTTTGGAATAAGTTGATCATTGGTTATGCCAATGTGGGTCCTTGCCATAAGGCTATAATTCTTTACAGAAGCATGCACTATAGTAGGTTGCTACCAGACCACTATACTTTCCCTTTTGTGATTAGGTCATCTGCAGGTACATCTGCGCTACGGGAAGGGACTAAAGTTCACTGCAACATTGTTAAAAGTGGGTTTGATGTAGATGTTTTTGTACAGAGTTCTTTAGTTTCCATGTATGCCCAGGCTGGCGATATAATCAGTATGCAGAACCAGAAATTGTTCAGTCTAATGGGTGCTAGAAACATTGTTTCTTGGACAGCAATGCGTGCTGGTTTTGTGCAAAATGGACAGCAGTGGTTGCTGGTTATGTGCACAAGGGGTTTTTAAGAAGATGATTTGTTCAAAAGCACAGCCAAATGCTCTGCTCTCAGCTTTTCTAGGGATGAAACGGCTGTTCTATCTTGTAATATCTTCTTCCACTTTTTTCCCTCTCTAACCTACAGCAGTAGCTCCTGTAACATTCCACTGTGACATTGAGTCTGAAATCCAGGTGGAACAAGAACTCCAACTCCATTTTGTTCAATTCTGCTGTGCTGACTCCTCCCACTTTCGCATAGTAGCCATTGCTGTAACACCTGTAGATCAAGATCAAAACCACGGACTGACTGCTATTTGACACGTATGAACAAGCTCGCTCGATCAGACTTACTCGTCATCCATGAACTTGGCGGCCACCAGGATGCTGGTGATCAGAAGTCGATGGACGTTCAGTAGAGTCAGCCGATTGCCCCTTCTTCTCTGCAGATATCTCTCCAGGTAGATGTATGCAACAACGAAGCAAGACGTGCTGCATTTCGCGTACTTGAACACGCGCTCCAGGTACTGCCTGATGGTCAGTGTTGGCGATTTTGATCCGTGGAAGATGGTGACTTCGTCTTTCTTTCTCGAACCCCTGGCAAGAAGGATTACCCTTTCGTTCTGCTGGACAATTGTCTCCACAGCGGAGGCGAGAAGCCACACGAGTCGAGGCGTTCCTGAATCTTGTGTGGCGCTGGGGCCGGAGTGTTGACTTGCCCAGGTTTCCATATCGAAGAACTGGATTTGTAGTTAGTAAGTAATAGGAGGGGAGAGTGGTGGTTTCTGAAGCCTGATGTTTGTTTACTATGCTTTGCTTTCAGGCCAAGCTGTCCCTTACATCCGTCCCTCCTTGTAAAATACTTTGAAACAATCTTTTGGGGACTTAGAAGGTATAAAAGATAGATGGATAGATGGGTATGGGTAGGTATATATTCTCTGGTGCAGAAAAGAAGGGGCAACTCAACATATTCGAGTTCGAGATGGAAGGTGCTTCCATTGAAGAAAAACGATTGTTGTAACTTGTAACACAAGTAAGTTAGTATATAGCCCCGTGGCAGGTCAAATATTTTGTGGTAAGTGATGGGGTAGGTCGATCCATACAAGTATATATTTTAATAGAAAATATTTGGAAATTTATTTTTTTCATTAAAAATTTGAAAAACAAACTATGACATGATAAATATAGTTATTCTTAAAGAGAATGAGGTTTTCGTGTAGTTAACTTAAATTCTAAGTAATTTGAGTAAAATTATATATAATTAAGAAAATTCAAAAATCAGGTGAGTAAAGTACACATTCTTGTCTTGTCCTGCATAAGGGCGGATATTACCCGCCCAAAACAAGTCAAACATATCGGATAAAACAAGTCAGGTCAAAATCGTCATCGTTATTCGTTGTGGCACTTCGAAGGGCTCATTCGAGACTCAAGTGATTGTGATTTTGGATAATTGGGTATTAGCCTTGCATCGTATGCTTCCGGTTCCTCGTCAGGGGATTGTCTAAGTTCAGGGCTCGATGGCTTCTTTGGTCCATCCTGGCGGCTGGAGTGTTTGCGTAAGCTTTTTTAGGAGAAAATCGTATGTGCCATAAGGGCTATCCCTTTATCGACTTCTCCTATTCCTCATCGTCTGGTATGGACGGGTGAAGTCTCTAGGGTGCATACTATTAAAATCTGGATATCATTTGTCGGTGGAGCTCAGAAAGAAGCTTGAGCTTGTTCTGAAGGACATGTTTTGCCTTGGGACCGTGGTCGGGGGGTGTGGGGGGGGGAGTTGTGCCTTGTGCCCTTGTCTGTTTGCCGGTAGAACTTTGGGATGAGGATGGTTTAGCTTCAGTTAGAGATGTCTGGCCCAAGGCCATATGAGTTTATTCTACCGCAGGTTGCTTGAGCGAAAAGATTAGGACCAGTCTGTTCTGATGCAGGTTGTGGCTCTGGTCTTGCGCATTTGGCGGGTGCAAAATTGGGTGGTGTTTGTCTTCATCCAATATACTATTTTGGTTTTGTTGGCTTAGTTTTGGGTGAAGGTTGCTGAATGGGATGTGGTACCTGGCACTCTGGCTCCTTAAGGAATGTCGGCTTCGATGGGGCCTCTGGGTTTGTTGAACAGAATAACGAGAAACAGATAATAACAAAAACACCGAGATTTACGTGGTATCCTCAACGTATTGTTGAGACTAATCCACGGAGAGGAGCAACCTGCATCAGAACAGACTAACGAGAAACAGATAATAACAAAAACACCGAGATTTACGTGGTATCCTCAACGTATTGTTGAGACTAATCCACGGAGAGGAGCAACCTCTTAGAGTCAATTGTATTCCACCGAGAATCCTTAGGTTACACATATCGGCTAACAACATATATATACCAACCGAACCAACCCTATCTTTAGGCCCAAACGGAAACAGAATTAACCTTAACCAATACTACTAACACAAGGATTAAAGGCCAAATTACAATTGACTACCCTAACTACTAACATCCTCCCTCAAATTGATGGTGCTTATGTAACATCAATTTGTACGCAAGAAACCAGTGCCGAGAAGACGCAACTGCCTTGGTGAGCAGGTCTGCAGTTTGTTCCTCAGAAGTAATATACGATAATGCAGTCACCCCTTCAGACACCAGCTGTCGAATATAGTGAATATGGAAACTTCAATATGCTTCGTGCGATCATGCAGAAATGGATTCGTAGCAATACGAATATCACTCGTATTATCAGCATATAAGCGCATAGGAACAACACACGGCATACCAAGTTCAGACTTCAAGCGCTGAAGCCAGACGAGCTCAGAAGTGACCTCAGACATAGACCGATACTCAGCTTCAGTGGAAGACTTGGACACCCGCTCCTGTTTCTTACACCGCCAAGATACAAAAGAAGATCCAATCCGGATACACCAGCCAGAAGTAGAGCGACGAGTATCAAGACATCCAACATAATCAGCATCCGCATAAGCCTCAATAACCGCATCCCCAAACGAGGGAAAGAACAAGCCCACATCAGAAGTACCACGAAGATACCGAAGGATCCTGGTGACAGCTACCATGTGAGTAGTACGGGGGGCAGCCATGAACTGACTAACTGCCTGAACATCGTATGAAATATCCGGTCGAGTATGGGTAAGATAGATCAAACTCCCAACAAGACTGCGATAAGACGAACCATCAGGAAGCAAGTCTTCATCTGTCTGCCGTAACTTCAAATTCTGCTCCATCAGAGTAGCACATGGTTCACAACCATCCATATGAGCAGTCTCAAGCAAATCAATAATGTACTTCTGTTGACTGACCAGTAAACCTGCAGGAGTCCGGTGAACCTCAAGACCGAGAAAGTAAGAGACATCCTCGAGCTCTTTAAGATTAAAGGATGCGCGCAGAGTACTGGTAAGAGACTGAATGCCATCAATATCATCACCACTCACCAACATATCATCAACATAAATGAGTAACACAGTAATCCCAGAGACTGCGCGCCGTAGGAACAAGGATGGATCAGTATTACTCTGAACAAAACCCGCTGACAGAATCGTATCATGGAATTTTTCAAACCAAGCACGCGGGGCCTGCTTAAGGCCATAGAAGGAGCGGCGAAGCAGACATACCTTAGATTTGTCGCCAAGCAAGTAACCCGGAGGGCATTCCATATAAATAGTTTCCTTAAGATCCCATGAAGAAAAGCATTCTTCACATCAACCTGCTGCAGTGGCCACCCTCGCATGGCAGCAACAACAAACAAAGTACGAACAGTCTGCATTTTGGCTACTGGAGCAAAAGTTTCTTCGTAAGCAATCCCGTATTCCTGCCTAAAACCTTAGGCAACAACCCGGGCCTTAAACCGCTCAAGAGAACCATCTGGATGTAGTTTGACATTATATACCCACTTTGAACCAATAACAGGCGTAGTAGGAGGGCGATCCACGACATCTCATGTATGATTAGCTTCAAGAGCATGAATTTCAACATTCATAGTGTTATCCCATTCTGGATGCCCACTGGCTTGTTTAAACGTGGTTGGAATAGGGATGTGAGGAATAGAAAATGCAACAAAGTCCGACATGTGAGGAAGTGGGACACCCTTGGTTGCACGCAGGGAACGGCGAAGTGGAGGAGCAACGTCCTCATGGACAGGAGACTGAGCAAGAGCAGGCGGAGACACTTCACCCGAGGAAGAAGAGGACTGTTGAACGGTAGTGGCGTGAGATGGGGTCGAGAGCTGGGAGGTATGGTGCGTGGCCGAGCTTGGGGAAGATGCTGACCAATCATAAGGAAGGGAAGACGTCTCATGTTGTGGTGATGGAGGATCAAGAAGATCACCACCAATAGCATCACAAGAAGGAATATCAGGCAAAGGACTAAGAAACTCAAGATCAGATTGAGACGGCTGATCAACCGATCCATAGTAGGAGATGTGCTCAAGAAAATATACGTTACATGAGATACGAACGCGCCGATTTGCCACATCATAGCAAACATAACCTTTGTGTTTATCACTGTAACCAATAAACACACTTAGATGCTTTAGGAGCAAGTTTATGACGTTCACGGCGGGGTAACAGGACATAGCAAACACAACCAAACACTCGTAGACTTCGATAATCAGGTTTCTCCCAAACAATGCTTCATACGGACTACGGTTATCAAGAACCGGAGTTACTTGTCGATTAATAAGATGTACTACCATATGAACTGCTTCTACCCAAAAACCAGTAGGAACACAGGACTGAAAAAGGAGAGCTCGAGTGAGTTCTAAAATATGGCGATTTTCACGCTCAACTAGCCCGTTCTGTTGAGAAACTCCAGGACGAGACTGGTGTGGTAAAATGCCCAACTCTCTAAACACAGCCTTTAATGGACCATATATGAATTCACACCCCGGATCAGATCGAATTTTTTTAACCCGTCTCCCAAATTGGGTTTTCACCATTTGCAAAAACTCCTAGGCACTGAAAGCAAATCGGACTTGTGGCGCAGAAAGTAAACCTAGGTAAATCTCGTGACATGATCAACAAAGAGGGCAAAGTAACGAAAGCCAACATGAGAAGTCACAGGAGAAGGTCCCCACGAATCAGTAGAACCAAAAGTCAAAGGGATCAGAATAATCAGTGGAACTGGACGTAAACGACTGTTGAGACAGCTTAGCCTCAATGCAATGCACACAATCACAAGAATCCGAAATCGAACTACCCGACAATAACTTGTTTTTAAACATCTCATGTAAACGTGCATTATTCGGGTGGCCTAGCCGACGATGCCACAGATCCCAATTGGAAACTTTAACATAAAAACCAAAACCAAATGTATTACTCGCCCTCCCCACAGGATCACAAACTAGAGCCGAGCACAAATCACCCCCATCACCACCAGAATCCGTAGCTACCAAAGACCCTGTGTAGCTGTCGAGGGGGAACACACGACCCACCTTAGTCCCGCGGCCTCTCTCCTTCCCCGTTCTCGTGTCCTGCATCACACAACCACGTGCATCAAAGATTATACGATAGCCCTCGTCAGCCAAGTGTCCTACTGACATGAGACTAGGGACGAGATGAGGCACATATAAGGTATCAGAAAGACACAACCGTTCTGAGCAATATCACCAATTCCCTGAGCCGGTAAACAAGAACCATTCGCAACTTGTAACATAAAGAAGAATGTGGCCGTAGAGAACGAAATAACAGATGAGACCCGGTCATATATTAAACGATGCAGAGTCAAGATGCCAAGAATC